CTTACAACCAATATGAACTTTTTCTCAAAAAATTGAAGAATTCTTATCAGTTTGATAGTATATTTCCAAGATGTTGAGAATTCTTCGACAAGATGTTGAGCAGGATCGCCTTCAGGAAACGTAGTCATGAACCATTCTACTTCAGAAACAGCATTTTCATTTGTGAAGTACTGATAGAGGCCATCTGAAGACAAAATCAAAAATTTGTCCATCGATTCAAGTCTGTGGTGACAACGTGATGGGGAACGGGGAATATAAGGGGAATTTCCAACATAGTCGATTCTGAACATCTCCAGGAGAGCATTGTTCCATTTGGGCTGTAAAAGTAAGGTAGATAAACATTAACAATCTTAACAAATGAGTATGAAAGCAAAAATACAAGGACAAAAACATAGAATATGAATCCTGAAATTCGAAAATAAGCTTAGAAACAATTGTACCTGTTTCAGGAATGCGGTTCCAAAAGCCCGAGTGACCTTCAATGAACCTTTCACTCTTCCATTGAAAACCGCCAAGGGATCAGTTCGAATCCTTCTAACTTTCTGGAACATAAAATAAATAGAAAATTTAGCACATGAACATTAAACAGAGGACCTAAAAACCAGACAGTCATCCTTAAACAAGAGGAAAGAAATATGTTTATTACCTCTTTAACAGATGTACTGTGATCCATTGTGAGCTGACAAGAACTCAAGTTATGCACATTCTCAAAGTATCTTTCCCTATAAGCATAAATAAATAAATAAATAATAATAATAATAATAATAATAATAATAATAATAATAATAATAATAATAATGGAACAAGAAACCTCGACATTAAGAATCACTTGATTATTCTATTTCAACTTTTGCTATAATGGAAAACACCTACCCTTCAAATAAAGAGACAAATTATCTTAAACATATGATAAATACTAACACCTTGAGCAACACTAACTCGATAAGAATTAAAAATGAAAAGAGGGATAGAGAGTATAAATTATTTGTTCTTCTAAGTAGCAAAATCAATCAGTAATTTAGCAAAAATTTACCTCTCCAACATTAGCTGTGATTATATGAGGGGTAAAATTAGAACTAACAGAACACGGAACCCATTCACCTACAAAGTGCTTTGCATAAGCTGATACCTCGTTCTTGACAAAAAAGAGGTAAATAAGTTGCCACCATAAGTGGAAGTCTCAAATTCAAAGTCTAGCAAGTTATAAAGAAGCCGCAGGCGCGATGCCGTACTGGTGAGGCTGTGGATGTTGTGTTGGCGTAGCCTGTGGTGGTTGCTGGTAGAAGTACACAGTCGTCACTGCCGCCAGCTATTGCGGTGGAGGAACCTGGTACTACGTTTGATGGCTGCATCGTTGTCTGAACCCTAGGTTTCAATAGAGGATAGACAAGTGGCTGTAAACAAAATCTAAATACTTTGATTGAGGTATGAATCGACGAATGAGGACGGAAAGAAGAGTCTCTAGCTAGGTTGAGGAGAAAGATAAATGAATTGGGTTTGGACAATGTTGGATTTGAAGAATAGTGGAGATAGCTGATGTTTGTGAAGTTGCTAGAAGGGGTAATGGATGACAGACAAAGAACATAACAAGCTTTCCCATTTTGGCAGCGCTAGTGAGAATGAGAGCGAGAGAGAGTCGGAATGTTGTAACGGCGGGCGGCGGCGAGTCTGAGCGAATGAGAGCGAGAGAATTGAAGGTAAGGGTTTTCGATATGTCCTTAAGTTTTCATTAATATTTGATTTTTTTTTTTGGCAGCATTTTTTTGGACATTGCAAAATATAGACTTTTAGCAACATTTAATAAACGTTGCAAAATACCATTTTCGCAACGTTTAATAAATGTTGCTAAAAGTCCTTCTTTTGCAACGTCTAAAAAACGCTGCAAAAGAAAACCCTTTTTGCAACGTTTAATAAACGTAAACGTTGCAAAAGACAAACTTTTCGCAGCGTTTATGAAACATTGCGAAAAGAGTCTTTCGCAACGTTTAATAAACGAAAAGACTCTTTCGCAACGTTTAATAAACGCTGCAAAAGAAAAACGTTTTGGCAACGTTTCATAAACGCTGCAAAAAATAAAAAAATTCGCAACACTAAAAAAATGCTGCAAAAAGGTAACATTAGCAACATTCACTTAAAAAATGTTGCCAAATCTCAATTTTGTTAAGCAATGGCAACATTCACGTATTAAAATGTTGCGATAGACCACTTTTGCAACATTTAACTACTGAATGTTGCCATTTATGTGTTGCAAATACACATTTTTGGTGTAGTGAAAGAAACGTGCAAATGCACGTTGCTAAAATATTAATGACAATGCATTTTCATTCTCTTCAGTACAGCCCATGTCATTTGCAACAAACTAAGAGATATATACACCAATAATATCATCTAAAAAGTTTGCAATTTAACAAGTCAACAAGTCCTAGATTTAATATAAATAATAAAATTGAACTTTGGGGACTATTTGTTAAGTCAATAAATATACTCCGCTAATCTCGCCCTGTACTTGCAGAATATAAGCAATATGCGAGGGATAAAGAATACAAA